GGGGGTGCAGGAACCCTTTGTGCGGGGGGCGTCGCCGGGTGGGGCCGCTGGTGCGCGTCGAATTCCCAGTGCGTCCGTGCGTGCGGGGTGCGTGCGTGCGCGTGGGCCGCTGCTGATTCACGCGGCAAGAAAGAGTCGCGGCGCGATGGTCGCTTGCTTCCAGATGCGGAGGGCGGATGTGAAGCCGAGCGTAAGAGTAAGAACTGATACGCCCGTCTGCGGTGTATCCCAATGAACCCCTTCAACTCGGATTACAAAAATGATTTCACGTGTTAACCCGATTAAGCAGTTGTTGAAAATGTGCTCAGATTAATTCGATGAGAAATAAAAACAAGAAATGCGTGTTTTTTTATGCACCCCGACGTTCACATTCTAAATCATGATTGATTTTGAGAGACCTAAATCTATTGTGGCGAATTGACAATCTTCGGTAGTATTTACTAAAGCATACGTGTCATATTAATATTTTTCCATCCCAAAATGGTTCGGATTTTTGCATTCTTTTCAGTGGAGGGTAAAGAATTACCAGTAAAAACGGAGCAAAGAAACCAGAGGCAAGTAACCGCTCCATAGAATAGTTAAAATTCCCATGTGTAACAACATTCAAGTTTTGTCACTGAGGCTAATGAACACTGATTTTATTCTTTGATGTGAGGAAACCGTTGCTAGAATTTTTATTCTGTAAGAGACAAATTCATAAATGCAACATTTCGCCCTGCAAAGAATTGAGTAAGATTTGTTTCTGTTTTACGTTGTTAGCAATGGTTGAAAAATGTACATGGTGTAACAGATTATAATAAGATTTTCAATGCAAAACTCCATAAACGTAGATGGGATTTATATGCAAACTAAGGAAAGTTCTTGAACCACTTGAAGATGTTCTACAAACCACAAGAAGGGTACAGAACTCTTTATCTGGATTGTCTCCAGGACTTACAAAAAAATATAGACATTTTGATTTGGTTTCGTCTGATAACATTATGATAGAAGCGGTTGGGAAATCCAGAATTTAAGATAACTGGAAATAGAAGAAATTTGCTACCTTGAAAGCTGTGGGCAAACTTTTTTTTGCACACGCGAAAAGTTTGGACATATCTAAACAAATGTCTGGACTTCTGGATGTAGAAAAGGCAGAGAAATCATTAATGTAATAAAATGAAAAATTAAAATAAACTGCCCGTCAAATATTGTAAGAAATTTTTCCAAAACATTTCGCTAAAATTTGCATCTTATCCAGTCGCCTTTATATGATATTTACTTACGTGTTCAGAGTAGATTAAACAACTCTTTGTTTTGCAATATATTAAACCTTCCTTCAGTAAATATACGGCTCTATATTATATCAGATGTAATAAGATGCTACTGAAGTCCAAGTAATGCTATTAATCACATAGAGAAAGATAGAAACTGTCAATATAAAAAAGGTGGTTACACAAGATGAAACCTTGTACAGTGCACTTGTCGAAAACTTCACATCTGCTCGTGAGTAACTATACACTGCTGTTACATCACTCGCGAATAATTAACTAACTTGCACCTATTGGACTCCTTTAGCCACTCGTAAGTTAAATAACTATACTCTTGCGTTTACCGACTGCTTACAATTTAAAATTGCGCGGAGTTGCAGCTTCGTAATTTACTCATTCATAAACGTGAGGTGGGTGTGGTTTGCTTCCTCGTCATCGGACTGGAGTCTTGCCAGATGCGAATTTAGCGCTTGCCAGACTTCCGTGAAATGTTTGGGAGTAGCCGGAAATAATAGCAAATTCCTAAACGTAGTGCAAGCTTTTCCTCTTATTTTAGGAATGTTCTTGAGTAAAAACACACGAGCAGTCTCTTCTCATGGCACACTTCAGACTCAGGACTATAAATACCTAATGTATGAAGCAGTTTTTCCGCTATAAATATACACGTGTTGGCGTACTTTACTCGTAGTTTGTAATGGCATGGCCACTGTTCAAAGATGCAGTAGAGTTGTATTAAACGTAATTATCTTGAGGAGTGTCTGGAATAAATACCTTTTACGTCGATATGACTTGTAAAAAATGCTACATGGACGGTGGAAGGTGAATGCAATATTTGGTGGCATCACAGCAAGATGGGTGGACATAAGTTAACTGTTGTGTTCGGTAATATTTTAAATGTAACTTGATAAAGAAATTGAAATATGGGGGTTTTATGAATAGTGTTGTTGTGGTCAAGATTTCCGGAGTACGTAACTGCCACGTATCATTCAAGGACAAAATAGAGCAATTATCTAGAGTTGCTCTTTTCTGCTGTTGCTCTTCTGCTGGAGTTTTTATCACAGGTGTTCTTACCAATCAAAACTCCCTTCCCTAG